TAATTTGATTGAGTTATTCTTGACAAATCGTTCCCAATTTGTAGCCATTCCAAGTTTAACCAATAATATAAAACAGACAATTTATTCTAGCGGCAAAATAATGACGCACGGAGTTCCTCAAGGATCTATCTTGGGACCTTTGTTATTTGTTTTGTACATGAATAATCTGTATGAACATCTAGGTATTTCAAATTTATTTCAATTTGCTGATGATACCTCATGTCTGGTAACCGAATCATCAATGGCAAGTTGTTCAACTGTATTAAATGATATTACCTCTGGAATGACTGCATTTTGCAATGAGAACAATCTAAAATTGAACGGATCCAAAACAAATTTATTATTGTTTTCTAAATCACAAATACTGGAATCCTTACACGTAAGATTAAATAACAAATCAATTTGTCAAGTAGAATCGGTTAAATTTTTGGGTGTTACATTCGATTTCAACATTAGGTGGGATGTACATATTAGACAATTAATTTCAAAGTTAAATTCATCAACTTACTTAATAAGATTTTTGCGGGATCAAGTTTCAACAAGTTCTCTAAGAATTTTTTACTACTCATACGTGCAGTCCTTAATTGAATATTCAATCCTGTTCTGGGGAGGCACTAAACATATTGATAAAATATTTAAAATTCAAAAGAAAATAATTAGATGTATTGCTCAATTAACTCTGCGAACTTCATGTCGAACCTATTTTAGGAATTTGGGAATACTTACAGTTCCATCTTTGTATATATACAAGCTGGTGTTGTTTGTTAAGAGTAATCCTGAACTCTTTACAAGAAACCATGAAATTTATAATAACATGATAACAAGAAATAGAGACAATTTAAGATTACCCTTACATAGACACGAGTATTACAAAAAATCACCAGAATACAATGCTATTAAAGCATTTAATGCTCTCCCAAATGATATAAGATCATTAAATGATTATTTTTTATTTAAAAGCAAATTGAAAATATTATTGATTGAAAATGAATATTACTCATTTGGTGATTTTATAGGGCACTAGTATATATTTACAGAATTTGTTTGTTAGCCTTTTTCCCATATTTATTTGTTTAATTTAGTTCTTTAATGTTTTAAAAATTATTATAATTAATCTTAATGTTTTTATATATTTGTAACTTTTACTTAATTTGTATATGTTTGACACTGCTAATGTCTTTTGTTCTATAAGATTTAATGGCAATAAAGTTTTATTATTATTATTATTATTATTATAAGTCTATTTTTTAGTGAATTTTTAAAATGCGTGCGATTCTCCATTATTTTATGTACAATGTTCTTTAATATCCGTTTAAATCCGAAATCAAATAATAAAGTTATTTACAATTGAAATTCATCGAAATCTTAGTATCGTATACGAGGTGTAATCTCGCAAGTATAATTATTTGTATTAAAACTTTGTAAGGTTATATCGTAAGGGCAAAATAATAAAATAAAACATAAATTAAATAATTTATTTAAGACTATTCCACTCATTACTTTATGGACCAGATCAGATTTCAGAAAACGGGTTTTTTCAGTTTTGCAGCGATAAAACTACTGTTTAAGTGAAAAAAACATACGAGTTGCCAATTGGTTGCTATGCGAAAAATAATTGTCAATGTTAACGTTTCTAATTTTAAAATAAAAATGTCAAAAAATATGCGTTTTAGTCAAAAAAATCAGTGAAATATATTATACACGAAAATTCATCAAGCTATTGAAGCAAAAAACATAAACATGACTAAAATTATTTATTGAAAAAATTATAGATTATTTTGAAAATGACTTCTCAAAAAACACAAAACACACATGGAATGCGCTGCGTCCTAATCTCGCAAATCTTGCGAGATCGCGCATGATTTTAGTACAAGACTAATCTTGCAGAATTAGTGAGATTTTGCTATTTCGAGATCTTGGTATACCAAGATTGCATTCCCTAGTGTGGATCGATTATTTTGCCTGTGAGTGTTTTAATAAAAAAATACATTAATTTCCAAAAATTACATTATTTTATCTTAAACCGTTTTAAAAATATTAATATTAAAACATATTTAAGGGCGCCCCTTTATGAGCTCTTTATGTCCCATTTCCCACATACATATTATGTCCATATAAAGTTTTCTTTCTATTTTTGCCCTAAAAACCCCTTGAAGATTATTGCACACTATTTTCAGGACAAGCTGTATATTTAGTACATTATACTGAGTTTTATCAAAAACTCTATTATTTAAAAAATATTGCAAACATTTTGAAATATCATGTACACAGTGGTCCTGAACGAGTAATAGGTCACATAAAAATGACGCCAAAAACTGACTGCAGTATTGGAATAAGGATGTCCTCTGAAGTTTAAAAATATGTTTTTCAAAATTTTTTGAAGTTTTGCTTAATAATCCAAATATCAAACTTCATTAAATGAAGTTTGATATTTGGATTATTAAGAAAAACTTCAAATTTCAAATTTTGGTGATTCATTTTAGGTTTTTGCTATCTTTAAAACGGAGGCCTTGGGAAACAATGTTTAAATAAGGAAATAAAGGTGACTTAAATATCTATTAAATCTTGCCTCCATAATTATGCCTAAACTATTGGCCTGCGAAATCCATGGACGTATAACCTATGGCAGGTTATTTACAAAAAAAATGTAACATACCCAGTTAAACATAAAAAATTCACGACTATAGTCGTGAATTTTTTATGTTTAACTGGGTATGTTACATTTTTTTTGTAAATAACCTGCCATAGGTTAGTTTCAACATTGCAGCGTCATTTTTCTTAAAAGACCCATACATATATAAAACAAAAAAGACAAGTACTTAATAATTATCAAATATTATATATTAATAAAAGTAATGTTATCAAAATGAGAAAAAGCATTAAATATTTTTTAAAGAAAACTCTAAAACTGCTCTTTTTAACGACTCTTTAAAGTTAGGATGTGCCATGTTGTTTATCTTGTATTTATTCCAAAAATTTTATAAACTCGCGGTGGACATTCTTCTAAGTGATTAATAATTATTAGTAGAATGAATTTTTAAAGTTTGAGATATGAATTTTTAAAGTTTGAGATATATCAGCAGCTTTAAACATAACTACTAATGTTTGTATGTGAATTTTTATTTAGTCCAAATTTGGCGTTTTGGTGGAAAAATAATTCTCAACTTATCAATAGTAGGACAAGTATGGTAAAATGACCAAAGAACTAACAGTGTGCAAAAAATATTTTTTTAGAAGAGTGTCAGGATGTTTCAGAAGCATTTAACATACATTTCCCTAAAAAATGTCACCTTGGTAATACTTAGTGACCAAATTCAGTGTTTTAGGCCACTCAACGCCTGTTCTTTTCCCAGAAGTTTCACTAGTCCGTTCCAAAATACGTAGGCAAAAGTGTTGCCTAGGAAAGATGATGGGTAACTAGATTTTTTTATTTACTCCTTGTTGGCAATTTAATGTAAGCAACTGATGGTAGTATTATTGCGTGAGCGTATACCTCAACTGAACATACATTACTTAGGTACTCAATTTATTTAAGGGTCCTGCTTTTTTTAAATAGATAAACCATTTTCTGCTGTCCTTTCCATTTTTTTTGTGAAATATGGTTTCGGCGATTAATGTGTAAAAACATCAAGTTTTTAAACATTTTGTAATTAAAAAAAAGCCAATGGTTGCGGTTGTTGAAGCATCATTTAATAGATAGTTTTGTCGTCTTTAATTCTTTATTTTAAAATTTCTTCCTAAACCCTGCTTAAAATACCCCATAGAGACCTATACAAAATAATCTATCGGGCGCTACCGGATTCAATATGTGCATTTGTCCATGGGTTTTTCCGGATACAGCCCGATAGAAAATGTATAGGAAATTACCTATAGGCACACCATAACTTTTACATTTTCCCTATTGAGACCGATAGAAAATAACTCAAAGAAGGATATATAGGGATATCCCTATAGAGCAACCATAAAACATTTGACAAAATTTTATTAAAACCTATGGGGTTCTATAGGGAAAAAACTAATTACTACATTTATGTGTATTTTCACCATTGAAACCGATAGCAAATATATCAATGGTGGATATCCCTATAGAACAACCATAAATCTCAACTATGGGTCCTATACAAACCGATACACCCTATAGAAACACCATACATCCCGATACAAATATCTATCGGTTTGAACAGGGTCTCTATGGGGTATTTTAAGCAGGGAAGAGCTCAGTTTTAAAGAAATTCGCAAAAAATATAAAAATATTATTTATTAATCAAATTAATGTTATAAAAATGAGAAAAACCATTAAATATTTTTTGATGAAAACCCAAAAACTGCTCTTTTTAACGACTCTTTGAAGTTAGGACATTGACATTCTTCCAAGTGATTAATTAGTACATGAATTTTTAAAGTTTGAGATATATCAGCAGCTTTAAACATAACTACTAATGTTTCTATGTGACTTTTTATTTAGTCAAAATTTGAGTTTTTGTGGAAAAATAATTCTTAACTTATCAATAGTAGGACAAGTATGGTAAAATTACCCAAGGACTAACAGTGTGCAAAAAATCTTTTGTTAGAAGAGTGTCAGTATGTTTCAGAAGCATTTAACAAGCATTTCCCTAAAAACCAATGGTTGCGGTTGTTGAAGCATCATTTAATAGATAGTTTTGTCGTCTTTAATTCTTTATTTTAATGTTTTTTCCTATAAAGCTCAGTTTTAAAGAAATTCGCAAAAAATCTTAAGTCACTAAATTACAGTTGGTATTTGAATTAACATCCCAAGTTTTAAAAAACAGTCATCTACAATTTTGAATAACATGTTTTTAAAGTCTAGAGAGGGTCCTTATTCCGATAGCGCATTCAGTTTTTGGCGTTATTTTTATGTGACCTATGACTCATTCAGTACCCCTGTGTGTATTATATTAACATTTTTGTGGTTTATTTTGTAAACATCGTTACAAATAGGCTAAAAATAAATATGAACGATCTCGTATTTTTAATCGTAGTTCTGAGGATTTAAGTGAATTGCAGAAAGATGTCTGTGGTTACGTTCGAAAAGCCGCTAACGCACATCGGGCTGGCCGATTGGTACGCAAAGCAGTGGCAATTGCAACAAACAAACGACACACGTCGAAACGATGCGTTCAACCTGAGACACGAGGCGCGCCAACTGCGAAACGAGACCAACATTCGCACGGAATGGGACACCTACCACAACAACGTGCGGCTGTCCGAGCGGGTCACGCAGATGGACAGGATATTGTACGAGCTGCAAGCGCTGATGGAACGGTTGGAGCACGAGATGAACATGCTCAAGTCGGAAAAATTCGATGCCGAGAGGGACTTGGACGCGCTCGGCATACCGATGTCGGTTATATCCGAGTGCATTTCCATGAGGGATTGCCGCCTCGGCGTCGAGCTTACTTACGATGATGGCGATACAGAACTCAAAAAGGTAAAGTAGTTTTATATACAGTGTAAGGTACACTATGTATTTTCGTAACCCGATTCTTTAAGTATACTGAAATACTTGTTTTGGTATATTCGTGATCGTCTAGTTAATTTACTTACTTTATAAAAATTAAGACTCTACGTTGTGTATTTACTTACATTGATAATAACGATATTTTGAAATTGGTCAGGTTTAATGAAACACAAGTATTTAATTTTTAAACCCCTGATTTAATTTAAGCAAAGACAAAGGGGTGGCCCGTTGAGTCAAAGCACAGGGAAAAGGGACCATAAAAACCCTGGCGAATTACACAGTTCAAATAAAAATAAAATACAAAACAAAACCTAGGCATATGGGTCATAATCACAAGAATACAGTATAAATAATAAGTGAATAAAATAACATAAAAAGCAGATAAACATATTTCATATAATTTGGGTGTTTTCAAAACATTTTGTACTCAGGTAAAATAGTTAGAATAGAGATCGTCATTTTATGACATAGTGTTGTACTATTTCTTTACCTTACCACGCATCCTTGAACTATTGAACGAGGATACGATTTTATATAAATAAACTACAGCAACGACATATATCTGATAGAGAGAATTCATATGCTTTTAAAAGGGGGGGAACATGGAAAAATCTAGTGCAGATATTTAACCGTAGCCAATAACCACACTATGGAACAATTGCATACTCTGCGACAGTGGCGGACATATAATCGGGCAGTTCGGTGCAGTGCCCGGGGGCCCCGGTCATATAGGGGCCCCCAGACATAAAGAAAATTCTAAATTATACTTTAATAATAATTATTAATACACCATTTCACGCCTACTAAATTATTGAGAACCACGCCACCTATTAGTAAAGCTCGAAAAGAAGGGGTATACTCTATGCGATGCGCCGAAAACTAACTTTCGGCCTTGGTGTTACATTTATGTGCCTTGTTTTCGAGCTGTACTGATAGGTGGCGTGGCTCTCAATAGTTATAAATAAGACAATTGCGATTGGTCGGCCACGTATGTGCAGTAACAAACCGCGCAGTAAAGAATCTTGATCGTTGACGCATCATTGACAATTAAGAATTAGACAAGTCGTTTCGAATTCAAATATTTGGTAATTAATCAAGAAAAAAAGAAATAGTTGTTGGTTTTTATAATTAGGTAATTCCTTACGGTGTTTTTTAACTACATAGGACAATAGAGGTAGGTAATCCGATAAATATTTTAGCACTATGTGCATACTTACATTTTTTAATTTGTATTTAAGTTTTTGCCGCAAAAATAAATTTAATACCTATAGTAAGGTATGGACAAGCGCAAATATAAAAGTGGAGCCGAAAAACGTAAATTAAAACTAGAAAATTTTGAAAAAGCTAAAAAATTGCCCAAGATCGATACATTTTTTAACCAGCAAAATGCCCCTGGGCAGAGCTCAAGTCGTTTGTCTTCATCGAAAGAATTTGAATGTCCAATCACCAATATCCAATCAGAAATATCCAATCACCAATTAATATTACAAAACATACCTCAATATTGTCTGTAGAATATGAAATTGCATCCAACCCAAGTTCAAAGCGATCTATTAGGTTAGTTATATCCAAATATAACTAACCTAATAGATCGCTTTGAAAATGATAAAGTTAGAAAAAGGGTATTTTAAAAATTTAGTTATTTATAGGTGATTTTATATTCTACAGACAGTATTAATACATCTCTATAGGTGTTCCTTATATGTTCTTCTGTTTTGTAAAATGTTTAAAAAATATATATATTTTCTATTAAATTAAATAGTCAAATTATTTGTGTATAAAGTAATTTTAAAAGGGTTAATAATGTTCGTCTTAAAGGGAAGGGTACAGGGGCCTCAAGTATGATTTGCACCGAGGCCCCGGTCTGCCTAGATCCGCCACTGCTCTGCGAAGTGATATAACGACAGCTATGGTGGTCCTATCTCACTAAAGTGTCGCTATATCACAATATGTTCAAATATTCTTACAAAATCAATTTCCAGAACAAGACAAAAGTATTGCGAAAATATACAAACAATTCTGCACACAGAGTTTATATAGGTAATAACATAAAAACACTATTTTTCTTTTAAGGATAAATCCTTTTGAAATAATGCTAATATATTACCCATGTTCAAATATTCATGTATAAGCACTCTCCAAACGAAAACACAAGAACAAATACTTCACAAATAAAATAAACAATACGCAATAAAATAAAATGGTATAAAATATAAATAAAATACAATAAAATAATAAATAGGAGAGAGTCATAACAAGAAACACCTAAACATGGCCAAAACTCTAACCACCAGAAAGTGTCGCGCTGGATAATAATATAAAGAGATTTTTATCAATATATAGTAACGCCAAAGTCATTATCAAATATTCAAAATAAAGCGCTAAGATAAGCAGTTTAAATCAAAGTCTCTATCCAGAATCTATCAAAAGACTAAAACTAATACCTTACCATGATATGACCTAATGGTAATATCAAATTTAATAATAATAATAATAATAGCAATAATAATATTAATAATAATAATAATAAACCTTATCCAAATATTACCAGTATTATAATAGTAATATAATTGTTAAAAGCTTTAGCCTGAGTACAAATGCAAAGAGTTAAAATAAATAAATACCTTAATACCGAGATGATACACTGAGTTTCATAAACAATAAAATACATTTCAGGTAAATAAAAAGTTATACAAAGTTATACAAAAGGAAATAACAAAATCAAGGCCAGAGAACTCAAAATTAAGACAATACAAAATATTAAAATTTAAGTAGAATGTAATTCAGTGTATATGGTGGATGCGACAACATAAAGATTGGAACTCAGTGTATGAGCAATCCCAAGATATTAAACCAAAATAATGAAATAGTGATTCAATAAAAATTATTAACAAAAATCACTCGCTATTTACACATATTAAAATGATTAGGACCCAATAAACTAGCAATGATAAACGACATTGACCAAGATGCAAATTAAATGATGTTTAAGATTATAAGCAAATTAAATAATGATGTTTAAAATTATAAGCAAAAATATATTAAGAAAACCCAAAACGAGGAGTTGTTTATCATTACTAGCAAATATTTCAATTTATAAAAGTATACATACCTAATTATAGCAGAAAACCGGTATCAATCACAAAAACTATAGCTATATTATAACATTGACTCAATGATTATAATATATATCACACAAACTTTTTAACAGGAGTATCTCGAAGAGCCAGCAAAAACCCTCTGTGTCTATTCTATTTCATCAACTATATTTTAAACTCTCTGCCACTTAAGCAAGAATGTGTAACATAAACAAATTCACCCTAATATTTCTACGCTCAGATACAAAGAAGTAAAATTTTAAAATTCAATAGGTTTTTAAAACATAAAATAACTTAAAACTATAATATTATTTTTAGTGGATTATTTAAATTTTCCTTGGTTAAAATAGCGCCAAATTTGAATTTAAAACTTTATGTACCACAGGACCCTTACAACAGGGTGTCTCAAAAGTCACGCAGACCCCAGGAATCCCAAAAAACTTTTTTGTCTTTTGCATCTTGCTAAATTTTCAAGCAAAAAATTTAATTTGTTTATCCGCTCTTGATAATAATTTTTGCCCTGGAAATTCCCCCTTCATTATTTAAAAAGATATATTTATTTTTGAAATGGTAACATTGCCTAATGAGTGGGAGTTTAATTCATAATCATCATGACAATAATATTAAAAGGTATCAAAATAAAATCCTACATTAAATATTTTATCTATCCGGATTGGTATCTAGACAGATTTTTGCACCTGCACGAATGCATTTTGTTAAAAAATATTACTTAGCATTGTGTTTTCGATTTTTTTTAAAGGAAAAAAAGATGCCCGTATGGTATTTGACAAGACTATTTCATGAGTAACAGTTATTCTGCATACACATAGCTTACAAAACATACTACCTATTATACATGCATACATAATAAATATGTAGGTATTAATTTGAAAACTGAAAAATAGGTAATCTATTTAATGACAAAATTTTAAAAAAATTAAATAATTATGGTACAATTAAAATATAAATTGCAATTTTTGGTGACAACAGCTGTCAAGTTTTGCCGCAGGTAAACTCGAAAAAACTGCTTACAGCTACCTACTTTCATACAGTTTTTCCACCTAGAAACCATTTGTAATTCAAAATTGCGCGTTTGTTATTGGTGAAAATTAAGTAATATCATAAGGGCATTTAATTTTTCCGAAAAGAATCGAAAAAACACGTTGCTAAGTGATATTTTAACAAAAAGCATGAGTGCTGGTGGCAACAAAAATCCGAGTCGAAGAAGAGGATTTTTGCCTCGATTTTTGCACCTGCACGAATGCTTTTTGTTAAAAAATATTACTTAGCATTGTGTTTTTTTGATTTTTTTCACAAGAAAAATTAGATGCCCGAATGGTATTTGAAAAGACTATTTCATGAGTAACAGTTAACAATTAAAATATAAATGCAATTTTTGGTGACAACAGCTGTCGCGGGTAAACTCGAAAAAACTGCTGACAGGTGCTGTCACACAGTTTTTTCACCTAAAAACCATTTGTAATTCAAAATTGCACGTTTGTGATTGGTGGACATTAAGACGAGGGAAATAGTCGTAAGTAATATCATAAGGGCATCTAATTTTTCCGAAAAAATTCGTAAAAACACGTTGCTAAGTAATATTTTAACAAGAAGGATGAGTGCTGGTGGCAACAAAAATCCGAGTCGAAGACGAGGATTTTTGTACCTGCACGAATGCATTTTGTTAAAAAATATTACTTAGCATTGTGTTTTCGATTTTTTTCAAAGGAAAAAAAAGATGCCCGAATAGTAGACTATTTCATGAGTAACAGTTATTCTGCATACACATAGCTTACAAAACATACTACATATTATACATGCATACATAATAAATATGTAGGTATTAATTTGAAAACTGAAAAATAGGTATTT